GGGGCAATGAAAGAAAGAAGAAGAAAACAAAGGGGCGTCTTACTTCACGTCATCTCGAATTGTCGTGAGAGGAAACTCGGGCCCATAGCGATCATTCTTGGGGTCGCCATCCTTGGCCGTGACGGGGCTTGCTGTGCCGTAGGGGCTACCCAAGCTGTTCATGCACACGATGAAGAACCTCGAGGTATCAAAAGCCCTACCTGGACCACCCAGCAGGGGACCCCACCAGTCGCTCACATCAGCACTGCCGGTTAGGGCATGGCAAATCACCATGGCGTTGTCACCAGAAGGCGAGAGCCGGCCGCGGGTGGTGTATGCCACGGGAACATTGAATAGCGTGACTCCAGATTCGAGTGTAAATTCCGGAACAATGGCTATTTGCTGGTCGGGGATGAGAGTCGCAAAGGGGTTCTCGGGCTGCGATTGGGTTCTTTCTTGCAGGTATTCAGCCACCACTCTTGTCATAAAATCTTACATCAAAACTCGTAACTCAAAATCAACGGCGGGCTTGGCCACTTGGCCGAGGATCGCCAGGAGGGGGGAAGCAGAAAAGAAGAAAATTGGGAGCCAAGGAAGTAAATAGCGTTTGAACGTATATAGAAAGATATCCTGTACTGACCGTATTTCATTTTGGCATCGCCATTGACACCCTTTGTCTCACTCATCTCGACAACTGCAGATGGTAACTACTCGGAATGACTCGGCCTCCGTTCTCGGAGTTGCAGCGCAGACCATGCAAACGCTTAGTAGGATACCCGGGACCTGAACCCAGGATTCAAAGATTAAGCGGCAACCAAAGGACAGTCAAAACGCTTCGCGATGTATCCAACCGCGGTAGCTGAAGAGTGAATAAGAGCAGATATAACTTGTACCGGGTGAATTTGTGGAGGATGAGAATTTCACAGAGCCGTGGCGTAATTTCAACCCCCCGGTTCTTTGTTGGAGGTTGGATTACTATATCGACTTGTTAGTAAGCTGTGCTAATGCAGTATCACGTGAGCTACTTGGTGGTCAATACTCTTGTCAAGCAAAGGTCAGAAAAAGCGAGACAGCAAAGTGGATAAGTGCATACATTGAGCAATATGAGCACCGATTCAGCTTATCAAGTAATGCTTTTATAAGGGAACCCCTGTGCAGCTACCAGCCGAATTTTAATCTACAGCTACAGTAGCGGTTACTATACAATTAAAGATATAGCATCCGCCACTGGAGAAACATAGATACAGCAGCAGTTATTAAAGAATTATTGCTTTAGCAGTTGCGGATCATGTGCTTAAACAACAGGCGTATAATTTGACGCGTGGGTGCTCGAAATCTTGTCGGTCTCGGGTTTTCTGTCTTCCGGCTGCCTGTGCTTGTATCTGAATTTCTGGTCGCAAGGCTGCCGTGGTCCGTGCACCGCTGCTGGGAGCGCAGCTTCACGACTTCACGCGGAGCCTCTTCAAACTTGGATTTTGGTACGACGTGCAGCTTTCCAGCATCAAAACCTGCCTCCGGACGCGGGCTGTGAAAGGCCTTGTTCAGCTCTGCGGAAACTCGGCCCGAATCGACTTGCCCTGACCGAATTGTGCTCAAGCCTTTCCGTTTAACTCTTGGGATTGTTTTTTGTTTCCCTTTCGTTTGCCTGCTGTAGTCTTTCACTCTTTTTTTCTCAGCATTTTATCACTGCCAGCTACCGCTCAGGCCCCAACACTCGCGGCTTCGCCCATCCCGCCGCGTTTTCGCCTCCTCTCCCCTCAGATCAACAGCTGGAATTGCCTGCAGATGGTCCCATGAATCCGCCGCTAATGGTATAGCACGCGCCGATCCCTCGCAGCATCTTCGAGCGTCATGCCGCAGAAGCGCAAGCGGCTCGATCGATCATCAGGCGAAGGAGGCAGACCATCGCCACACAATCCAAACGACGCCGCCGCCGCGCTTCACGAACGAGACGACACCATGAACCACATGAACCAGGGCCAAGGCCGAGGCCGAGGCCGGGGAGCGCATCGAGGTGCCAATCAACGGAACCCGTCGCGTGGCCACAACAATCGTGGTCCTCACAACAACTATCAGCAGAACCAGAATCAGAACCAAGGCCAAGGACAGAACCAGGGCCAAAACCAAAACCAAAGCCAAAGCCAAAACCAAAATCAAAACCAAAATCAAAATCAGAGCCAAAACCAAAACCAGCCTCCCGCATCGCGAAGGCCCCTCAGCTCATCCTCCTCTCAGCAGGCACCGCAGCCATCCCCAACAGCCCCGAGAGCCTCTAACCCTCCTCCAGCAACCAAACCTCCTCCTCCTCCTCCTCCGCCACCTGCCTTCTCACGGCCTCCGCCTGCCTCTACCTCACCCTCGCCGGCCAACATCCCTCCACCTGAAACTACATCGGAAAGCGGTCCTCCATCTGGATCAAATTATCACTATGATAATCTCACAGAGGAAAAGATCCGATCATGGACAGAGCGTGGGCGGGAGGAGATCGTGCAACATGGCATACAGTCGCGAGAAGATGTCGACATCACGGAGCTATCCAGCCTGTTTCAAGAATTCATCCATGCTGTTGTCGAGAATCGGCTGGAGGCTACTGACGCCGGAAGATGCGTCAAGGAGATTCTGGGAGATGAAACGACAGATGGTATTAAGGATTCCTACGTGGCCCCCCACACACTACTCCTCGACTCGCTGGCCATTGTTATGGACAATGAGCCTGATCTATATCGCCCGGCTCTTCGTGATTTTCTCATCGCCACCGAAGTCTCTCCCGCGCTTATGCGACAGGTGCTTGATGCCCCCTTGCTTCAGCAGCTTGGCCTTATCAGGGATACCTTTGCTAGGTTAGGTGTCAGGCAGGCGACAAACTTGCTCTATCGACAGGCAAACTACAATCTCTTACGGGAGGAGACGGAGGGATACTCGAAGCTCGTCACTGAGCTCTTCACAACCAGCAGCATACCATCGCCCTCGCCTGAGCTTGCAGAACAAACGTTTGAGAGGGTCAAGGCTTTGATCGGGACTTTCGACTTGGACGTTGGCCGAGTCCTCGACGTCACTCTCGATGTTGCTGCGGCCGTTCTGATTAAGCAGTTCAAGTTCTTTGTCAAGTTTCTGCGAATTAGTTCTTGGTGGCCTCGCTCGCACCTTGTCCTCAGTTCTGTGGTTTACACCGGTGGCCTACCGACTTGGGCTCAGCCGGATTATCCTCACTGGAATACAACTGAAGAGGACGAAGAAGCCAACACACAGCAGAGATTGGCCCGAGACACTGAATTCTGGGCTCGAGCACGCGAGGTCCATTTGGCAGCGTTTTTCGAACTTGGCGGGCGCGGAACATCCAACTTGACGTCCTACCGACCCAAGCTCACAAATGGCAACGCCAGTGAATCGGCTGCCGATATTGAGGAGCAATGGATGGAACAGACGAAAACCCTCCCACCGCCAGGCAATAAGGTTGCTGCGCAGCTCCTAGGATTCAAACTGCTCTTCTATAACAGCGATCTAAGGGATAAGACCGACGTGCTCCCTGCCAATTTGCTCTATTTGGCGGCCCTCCTCATCAAAGTCGGCTTCATTTCGCTCACCGACCTCTATCCTCATCTCTCTCCCCCTGACGAAGCCATGGAGCGTGTTCGCGAAGAGCAAACAAAATTAATTGAAGAGGAGGAGAAGGCGTCGCGTGGCGGTCCCATGAACGCTCTGCTCATGGCTGGCGTTCTTCCCCAAGGCGACGACGATAACCCTATGCAATCAAATGCTCCCAGACGAGAGACCTTGAAAAAGGCCGAGCCTGAGCAGAAGCAATCTGCTGCTGAAGCCACCGAGGACAAAAAGAATCTCCCGGAGCCGTTAGAGCAAAAAGTGAGACTACTTATCCAACTGTTAACAATTGGAGCCATCCCAGAATCATTGTTCATTCTTGGAAAGTTCCCATGGATTCCAGAGGTATTTCCCGAAGTCCTGTCCCGAATTCACCGCGTGTTACACGTCTCCATGGAAAAAGTTTTCAACGACAGCCGCCCAAAACCCTCTGGTGGAGCCGATTGCCCAACCAAGGAAATATTCTCGGCGGACCAGACTGGCGTTGCAAAGGGGAGTGTTCGGCTCGTCAGGCTGCCCGTCAAGAAAATCTGGCGTTGGCCATTTCCCGATAAATGGGATACAAGCGAGAGTCAGAACTACCGATTCTACTGGGATGAATGGGCCGACAACATCCCGGTCTGTCAAACTGTGGACGATATCTTCACGCTGTGTAATACGTTCCTTAACATATCCGGTGTCAACATTGGCAAAGACGAAACATTGCTTTCCAAGTTGGCCAGCATCGGAGCTAAAAGCTTGACCGAGGATACCTCCGAGTCCAACTATGCCCGATGGCATGACCTCCTTCGCAGGCTTCTCGTGCCTGCTCTCAGCCATACTAAGGCCAACGTCTCCGTCGTAAACGCGGTTTGGGAGCTACTCCGCCGGTACCCGCTGACAACACGATACTCTATTTATGCCGAATGGTTTGAAGGACAGATATCCCGTCTGCCCGCTATGCGATTAGCATTTGCTCGTGCCACCGCAGAGACACGAGGAACTATGAAACGATTATCGCTCACCAACATCAGCGAGATGGCCAAGCAGCTTGCCAAAACAAGCTATTCTTCTCCTGGAGTCGTCTTTCGAGTTGCGTTTGAGCAGCTTGAGTCGTACCCCAACCTGATTGAAGGCTTTGTTGAATGCGCCAAATACTTTACTGACCTCTCCTACGATGTTCTCGTCTGGTCTCTGATGAACTCGCTTGGCAAATCTCGAAGCCGCACTCAGGCTGACCATGCGCTCACTACTAGCAAATGGCTTCAAGCGCTGTCTAGGTTCTCTGGTAAAATCTTCAAACGATATTCCGCCATCAATCCTATTCCGGTTCTCCAATACGTCAATGACCAGCTTCAACGCGGCAATTCCACCGATTTGATCATCTTGAAAGAATTTATCAACTCCATGGGCGGTATTGTCGACTCAGTGGACTTTACTGATGCCCAGATCCTCTCCATGGCTGGTGGAGAGCGATTGCGCCGCCATACGCTGATTCGAGGCCAGGATAAGCGTTTTGACAGTGTTAGGAGCTCCAAGCGACTCACACAGGCGCTCACCGACTCGAAGCTTGCCGCCCGAGTGCTTCTCAATCTCGCACAGTATCGCCAGTCAGCGATATACCAGGTTCCCGAAGACGAGGCACATATCAAGTATTTGTCAGCTCTGGTAGACGATTCTCATCAGATTCTGGTACAGTACCTCGACTTCATCTGGAGCAACCTTGAGCCGTCAGCCTTTGATGCTCTGGTCCCCTCTATAAATGAACTGCTCAGTTCCTATGGTTTGGATACGAGCATTGCTTTCTTGATTGGAAGGTCTAGCCTTTCCCACAAACTATACCCCTGGGGTCAAAAGGAAGCGGAAAGTTCAAAGGAGAACACACAGCCAACGCAACAAGAAGCTAC